GAAAATAGAGACCTAGGCATTGCCTTGTCTTCTTTTTTTTTTCAGAGTCTTGCTCTGTTGCCCAGAGTGCAATGGCATGACCTCGGCTCATTACAACTTCTGCCTTCCAGGTTCAAGCGATTTCTCTTGCTACAGCCTCCCAAGTGCTGGTGCTAACCAGCACACCCAGTTAATTTTTGTATTTTTAGTAAAGACAGGGTTTCACCATGTTGGCCAGCCTCTCCTCAAACTCCTGACCTCAAGTGATCCACCTGCCTCGGTCTCTCAAAGTGCTGGGATTACAGGCGTGAGCCACTGTGCCCGACCACCTTATCTTTCCTGGTGAAGGAATGGTAGGTTCTGATCCTGGTTTGCAAAATTCTTTCAAAAAAGAGATCATGGCCTTTCTATTACTCTGGCACATAAAATAACTTTCCCAAAGAGCAAATATGCACCATCATTTGGATGAATCTCTCCATCAGTGTCTTTATTTCTTTACACACAGCGTTGTCTGCCTTCTGAGGGTTCCAGAACTGATGTGTTACTGCTTTGCCTTTCCTTCCTTGTCTCTCTGGGTCACCTCTGTAGCTCTGAGAAACTGAATTTGCATCTTAATCCTACAGTGTGACTCCAGTGCTCTGTCTGCCTGCCTCACAGTCAGTGTTTCTGGCATGGCCTTGGAAGAAGCCCTTGAATAAGACATTTTCTGGAATTGTTTCTATCCAGATGTATTAAAACACTTGCTTTTTTTTTTCTTTAAAGAAAAAACCTTTCCTATGGTTCTGACAAACTTGATCCAAATATTTGTTTACAGTCCCTATATCCCTAGAGGAGTAAAGTTTTACATCATATGGCTGAAAATAAAGCAACTGTCTAGCAAAACTATATTCTTACAATCGATTATATTCATCATATATAGTATAAGATTTCTACTTCCAAAAAATGTAAGTCTTTTATATTTTTAACTAATTTCATGAAAAGATGAAAGTTTGGCAGTCATCTCCAAAGATGACTACATATTTAAATTTGAAACAGTGCCCACTTTGGGTTTTTGATCCTCTAAATGGCTCTTTTGTTTCCTTCTAGGTGAGTACATGTAGCTTAAGAGGGGGATCTGGTTTTCACAGCACAGCACTTTTTATTTTAGCTAACCATCCATCACCAGTCACACTTTCAGTGTCATTTAGATTTGAAGTTTCCATTTGGATAGGCTTTGCAAAAAGGAAAGAATGACACACACACACACACACACACACACACACACACACACACACACACCCTGTAAGGACATAAGCATTTCACAACACTATATAGGAAATGCAGCAGACCTGAGTGGAACTCACTGATTTTCTTTACCATTTTGATTATATGGGTCTATGAGTTCAGATGAATCGAAGCACAAATGAAACTCAACAGGCATGATGAATTCCACCGAAACTGCTGAAACGGTTGGGCAGAGCCCATAAAAATGGTTTCATTCTCTGAGATAAGAGGATAAAACTGGGGCCTAATTCAGGAGGCAGCTTCTGGGGGCTGTCATCACTCAACTCCTCAAACTGAGAGATACTTTTCAACAACAGGGTTAGTCTTTATATGCTGTGGCTTTGAACAGACTTCAGTAAATGACACAAAATAAGTTAATCTCTATAAGCAGCAGGACAAATGCACTACGCCACTTTTAACATGACACAGATTTAATCCCTGCTATGTTTATACTATTGGTAACCTACACGGGTGTCTGGGGCAGGTGGTGGGATAAAACCCAAATAAGACATTTTTAAGATATTTTAATTTAATCAACAATTGGCTCAGGGAAGAGAGTACGTCAGGAAAACAACCCTGACCTTGAACAGACACAGCTATTTCTACTCTCTGTTCCATCTTTTGTCCTCAAGCCTCTCAGAGCTGAAAGTATACTTAGAAATTTGCTGTGTAAATGCCATTTTCAAAGAAGTATTTTCTTCGTTTGTAAAACAGAAAGACTAATATTTGCCCTACCAAATTCATAGGAGGCTGTGTGTATCCAAGGCGATCATACATGCATAAGAACTGGAAAATGTGATTGATATGGAATGCTCTATCGTTACTGTGCCCATGTGAGAACATTCTCAAAGGGAACGTGGGCTTCACAACTGCTGACTGCTACCGGGCAATTCTAGTACCAGATGGAATACTTATTCTCAGTTGCCTGGAAAACAATGAGATTTCTCTCTCACACACAGACCCAAAGGTATTCCACATAATTGCCATTAACTGTTGACTGCTTTTGCTTTCATGAAATATCTGGTAAAATATTATTTAAAAGAGTCTCTCTAGGGCTGGGCATGGTGGCTCACACCTGTAATCCTAGCACTTTGGGAGGCCAAGGCGGGCAGATCACAACGTCAAGAGATCAAGACCAACCTGGCCAATATGGTGAAACCCATCTCTACGAAAAATACAAAAATTAGCTGTGTGTGGTGGTGAGCACCTGTAGTCCCAGTTACTTGGGAGGCTGAGGCGGAGAATTCATTGAACCTGGTAGGTGGAGGTTGCAATGAGATGAGATTGTGCCACTGCACTCCAGCCTGGCAACAGAGCAAGACTCCATCTCAAAAAAAAAAAAAAAAAAAAGAATCTCACTGAAGCTACAATAATTATAAGTATAATGAGATCATGTAATCTGAATAAATAACAATTTATTAATAGGTTCTAAAAATGTTTCTAAGAACAACAGCCCTAGAATAGAAATGCAAATATGAACAATGACCACTATACTTTTCCCATTTTCTCTTTTTTAAAATAAAGTCTGCCTGATATATACTTTTTATGACTCCTTTCTTATCATTTGCAACAATTGTATATCACAAACCTAAATTATAAACAAATTTGTATTTTCCAATATTTTTTCATGTTCATTTCACATAACCTGGTTGAATTTCTTTTTTTATTTTCTAGAGTACCTGGGAATGTGCTAGATGAATGACAGTCTCACAATAAATTCTTCTGAGGTTGTTTATTGATTAAGAGCAAATAAGCTAATTTTAGTTATAAACTGCTTTTATGCTGTAGTATATACTATTTAATGATCCTGGAATCTTCTTTTTAAGAATGGTAATAAAAGTTTGCAGAAGGCTGAGCACAGTGGCTCATGCCTGTAATCCCAGCACTTTGGGAGGCCAAGGCAGGTGGATCACCTGAGGTCAGGAGATCGAGACCAGCCTGACCAACGTGGTGAAACCCCATCTATACTAAAAATACAAAAATTAGCAGGGTGTGGTGGTGTGTGCCTATAATCCCAGCTACTTGGGAGGCTGAGGCTGGAGTATCTTTCGAACCCGAGAGGTGGAGGTTGCAGTGAGCCAATATCGTACCGCTGTACTCCAGCCTGGGCAATAGAGCAAGACTATGTCTCAAAAAAAAAAAACCAAAACAAAACAAACAACAACAAAAAGTTTGCAGAAGTAGAATTTTTACAAATATATTGTTAATTATTTAATGAGAATACTTTCTCAAATTCAAAGCTAACTTCAGAATTAGAATGATAAGCAGAAGTATTTTACCTTTCCTATGTCAATTTCATAACAAAATGATTTTCATTAGACCACACACGAGAGTCTTCTTAGCTTTAGAGCAACATTATATTTCATTTCTTATAATATCTGTTTAAAATGCATATATACTATTACATTAGGTCAGTATCCTTTTCTTCAGCAGTTGAAATTAAATTTCTTCCTGCATAGTTTTACTAAGCCTGACTGGATGAATGAAGTATCATTGTTCAATAAATGTGTGATAAAGATCTTGACCAGTCTCGATTTTACAGGTAGCATTTTCCATGTAAGTAGAGAAAAATCAGCACAAAGTCCATCTCCCTTTTTTTTGTATTAGGAACGTGGCATTGGTTAATTGCTGACAACCTCGATTTACTAAGTAGGAACCTGTTAAGCATGCATCATTACGTTCCTTAGGACACCTCTTTGAGAGGATGCCATAATTTATTATCAAGTAGGTCTAATTCTCTCTTGATTTACAAAGTGGCAATAATATTCCCTCTCACATAATGCGTTGCTTGGAGGATTCCAAATCCAGGCACTAAAATATTTACAGCCTCCCCAGGAGGAATTGGGATGCAGGCGGTATTCTTATGACCACAGCAAAGAAAATGGAGGGGTTTGCCTGAGATCTCCTGGCAAGTCAGCTATTTGGGGAGCAGAACCTAGATCTCTGATGCCTAGCAAACAGTCACAAAAGCATAGAGCTCTAAGGAGAGTTGCCCATATTATGTGTCCCCAAAAGAAGAGGGAAATGATGCCTAGGAGGCTCACTGCAGAATCCCCATCGTGCAACCGTGTCACTGTTTCCCTCTGACTGCACATAAAGCACACTGAAGGGTATCAAACAACATAAAATCCTAATGGTGCCCTTAATTAGGAGGGACCATCACTCCAACTCCCCTCACCTCCCACTATCCAATCTAGCAGCCCCAAATTCCTCTCCGGGGTGACTCATCCTGAAAGCAAGGCATAGTTACAGAAACAATCTTTGGGCTTACAAGGGACCATCAAGCTCTGATGATGATGAAGTTGGATAGCAATATGTCATACTTTATATGGCCATAATCCAAGTTTACAATGATACATTAAGCCATAATGCTACTATTTATATCACCATAACTCAGTTTATGGTGATATAAATAGTCATCTAATGGCATTAACAGCAGTATGAGTGGAATCACAGCTGTTGAGTACTGCATTTATGCTATTAGCATTGCTATTTATATCACTATAAACTTAGGTAGTCAAACTGTTATATATGAATATAGAGGAAAGATAGATATCCCCATTTTATGCCCAAATCTTGGCTTCTATACTGGAGGCTTTATGGCTGTTCCCCTTCTCTAAGTTAGCTCTGCTTGGGTTGTGTGATGTTTCTGCAGGAGCCACAGAAGAGCAAGTCTGATTGCTGGTATCTTCTGAGGAGCTGGAAAACAATATTTAAAGGATAAGAAAGTGCAAGCCATAGCTGCCATGCAAACTTACTGTCTCCTTGGCAGCGCAGTGGACCCACACTCAATTTGGCTTCTGAGCCTTGCCGGTCAGTATCTCCAACCACTACTTGGCTCACTGGCAGGTGATCTTGTATGTTAAGAAACCAGCATCCTTCCTCCTGGATCACAGGGAAAGACAAAAAAAGGATGAGGAGGTTGAGTTAGAAATATGACTTTTCTGCTAGTTGCTTAAGTTGTCTAAGGATGACATTTCAGTAATTGTTTGGAAGGTTTACTAAATAAAGCCACAGTTAAACAGTTGTTCTCTCTTCTCCGTAGGTGGTCTCATAAGCACCTCTGGCATCTTTGCCTTCTGGAAAACAGAAGTGACACCCCGATTTCCAGAGATTCACAACCATTATGCTGTATACTATTTTAGACTGAGAGTAGACCACAGCCCATGCCGAACACTGAGCACACATGCAGAGTTGCTGCTGCCACAGAATCAGAAGTTCAATAAAGTGAACCTGATCACTTGAATAATACGTGCAACAAAACCCTCTTTTAAAACAACCCCTTTGTCTCTTTCATTGCTTTGAAGCAGTTTTCTTCAGAGGCTTTCTTCCCTGTGGTACGTCAGCTAATACGGGACACCTTTTATTCCTTCTTCTCTTCTCATTTAGTTTTAGCAACTGGAATAGTTTATGTGAAGGTTCCAACACAGAACAGGTGTTCCAAATAAGGTGTCTATTTCCATCTCCAATGAATAGTGGAACTGACATTCGAGCCCAGTTGGTCTTCCTCCCGAGTCTGCTCTTCTGGTTACATTTGTCTGTTTCAGGTTTCCCAAGTCTATCCTGTACCACCCTAATGAAGAAAGACGAGACTAGTTGCAAAGAATGGACCCTAGAGTGGAGCACAGACACCCGGGAGGTGTTCCTGGAGACGGGCTTAAGGTGAGTTATGTGCAGTGGGTGTGTTTTGGGGCTGGGCAGCACCGATTTTCACCCTCATGGGAAATCAGTGCCCCTTTGTCCCCTTTTCTGGCTTCTGCGGCTGAGGGATCCCTCATTTGAGGCTGAATGGGTGGGAGGCACACAGCAGTGTGATGTCATTCCTCAAATGTACCCTTTCAGATGCTTTTTTATATGGTTCAATCTGAATATAAATAACCATTTTGAAACTGCACATAGAACGAATCACAAAAAAACCCACCCTGATTTTGAATGACAGGAGAATGAGAGAGACAGTTCAATAATTTAAACATTTGCCATTCATGTCTCTTGGTGAATAGTGCAGGGAATGGAGAGGAACCAACCTGGAGGCCTGTCTTGAAAATGCTACACTATGTGGAGCAGTTACTTATACCTCTGGCCTTGTTGAGTGTCAGTGAATATATGCTTTCTCATATATTTCTATGTGTCAGGACCCATAGAAACCCGGGAAGGAATCACAGAACTTGGCCAGTGGGCCTCGAATAAATGTAGTATTGATACTGCCTTAGTATTTCATTGTTTTCCAAATAAAGGGGTTTAAAAAATAATTATGTATCAAATCAGAATTAAGATAATGCAGAAAAGCACTGTGATTCTTATTGATACTGGAGCTACTAATGAATAGGCCTGAAATATCTCAGTGGACTTTTTTTACAAACCCACCATCTTTCATTAGAACATGTCAAAATGGAAACAAAGCCTTTGATTCAACGTGATATTTAGTGCTTCTTAAAGGAACAATAAATAACCTACTAGAAAGATGTTGTGTCTTCCACAGTGCATCCACCATGATGCCTGGCTAATTTTTGTATTTTTAGTAGAGATGAGGTTTCACCATGTTGACCAGGCTGGTCTCAAACTCCTGACCTCAGGTGATCTGCCTGCCTCAGCCTCCCAAAGTGCTTAGATTACAGGGGTGAGCCAGCACTCCTGGCTAATAATGTTGGTTTACTTATGATAAGTGACAATGCACTAGCTTCTTATGACACTAGTGCTAGGAGAGAGCTATTCCAATTATTATGTAATTCAGTGCCCAAATTGCAATGTGTATAACCTTATAGGAACTCACACTATCTACACATGGTCATAATTTGGAAATATAACTTTGAAATGTTTGTAAACATTTTATAAATGTAGACTTTTAGTAGACTTTGAGCTTAAAAAATTTTTATACTAAAATCAGGCATAACTTAATTTCAAGAAAAACTGATTAACATCAGGGATGATAGAAATTTATAAGTCACATTTTATCAAAATTTGGCATTATTAGTGAATGATACTGAATATCATGATTCATGAAGAAAAATCATTCAAGTGAGATAATGTATATTATTCCCATTTTACTGATGAGAAGAATGAGAATAAGGGAATTGATCTAGACCAAGTTTACCAGTGTTAGTCTGGATTCAAATTCACACTATCTGGATCCCCTCCTTGGACTTTTTACTTTAAAAAGGGGGAAAAAAAACAAAACAGAATAGAATTGAAACACCACCATGTAAATTAAAAGAATTTTTCTCCTAATTCTCATTTATAGGTGAGGTGAAAAGTACCTTTTTAACATATACTTAGCTAGCCTGAAATGTTAAGGTTATTTGTAAGACATAAACTTAAAATATCTGTAATGTTTTATTCACATTTACCCTGAATCTATCAACATACCATACTAAGCCAAAAAGAAATCTAGAACCACATATGACCCCAATCAACCAATTTTTTTTTTCTTTTTTCTTTTTTTGAGACGGAGTTTCGCTCTTGTTACCCAGGCTAGAGTGCAAAGGCGCGATCTTGGCTCACCGCAACCTCAGCCTCCTGGGTTCAGGCAATTCTCCTGTCTCAGCCTCCTGAGTAGCTGGGATTACAGGCACGTGCCACCATGCCCAGCTAATTTTTTGTATTTTTAGTAGAGACGGGGTTTCACCATGTTGACCAGGATGGTCTCGATCTCTTGACCTCGTGATCCACCCGCCTCGGCCTCCCAAAGTGCTGGGATTACAGGCTTGAGCCACCGCGCCCGGCCTTTTTTTTTTCTTTTTTCTTTTTCTTTTTTTGAGGTGAAGTCTCCCTCTGTTGTCCAGGCTAACATGCAGTAGTAACCTTCGCCTCCCAGGTTCAAGTGATTCTCCTGCCTCAGCCCAAATTCAACGTTTTCAATGATATATTGACGTTCTTAAGAGGTCGCGGTATAGCTAGTGGTAATAACACTCAGATATTCCTTACCCAATCAACAAAGGAGGGAAAAATTGTCAGCTGAGAAAATAATAGAAAGAGAAAATGGTATAAAGATGTCTCCTTGGTCACTTCTGACCAAAGATCTAAATAGGGACCCGGACAATGGCATGTGAAACTCTCAAAGCAGTGTATTCTACGTTAGTTGTGGAAACTAAATTCATGAAAGTCAGGAAAGTAGTTTAACCAGCACAAAGTCTTTGCAATCCTACAGCACAACCTACTTTTTCTTTTTTTGTTATATATATTTTTTAACTTTAGAGACAGGATCGTGCTCTGTTGCCCAGGCTAGAGTGCAGTGGTACAATCATAGCTCACTGCAGGCTCAACTTGGATTCCAGGGATCCTCTTGCCTCAGCCTCCTGGGTAGTTGGGAGCACAGGTGTATGCCACCATACCCTCTGTTTTAATTTTTTTTCTTTTTTTTTAAGAGACAGGTCTTGCTTTTGCTTTTTTGCCCAGAGTGGTCCCAAATTCCTAGCTTCAGGGTTTGAAGCAGGGTGCCTAGCTTCCACGGCCGATTTGTGGTCTGGAGAGGGCTCCTCTCAAATACCTTTATAATGTCCATCTAAGCACCTTGTGTGATTTTTTTATTTTTTGGAAGCAAAATGAGACTTTGTTGAAAGTTATGATCCTTATAGATTGAGGTCAATCTAATTTAGGGAGATATTCAGTAATGATTTATCCTGTTAGCATAATAATCTAATTATATCTGTTAGTGGGCTTGTACATTGGAAAAATTCTATGATCCATTTCAAATAGGCCCTGAACTAAGACTCTTGGTATGCTATTTCCATCAGCATTGTTACTCAAGTAAAGCTTGATTCTATGGATTTTGTTTTTCTAACCTGAAGTGACTGTTATTTCCTTTCAGTATGGTTTTCTTGAAAACTTCTGTCTTGCTCTGCTTTCTTTCCTTGCCTTTTTTTATTGTGCTTAGAGAGCAAACAAGCCTATAGGCAGTTTAGTCTTGTCCTTCGCTTAATGAAAAAGTAGGAAAAAGAAGCTCTAAAGAAAAATAAACATCCCAAATTTTTTACAATGAGCCTGCTTTTCTACCAAATATTATGAATATTATTATACTATGAGATTTCCCACACAGTAATTCTAGCAGAGAAGGACTTCTCTTTGGTGAAGTTTTAGGAGTACTTAGTGACCCTTAGGAAAAGTATACTCTGTGCACTTTTACGCATTTCCGTCACAACATCACCCTAACAAGAAATTTCTGAACAGAATTCAGGAAGTCAAGGTTACAGCTACAGAAGATATCTCATAGAGAGAAGTAGAAATACAAAATAAACACACGAGAAGAAGCTTAATATTATCATTCATTAGGGAAATGTAATTAAAACTACACTGAGATGCTACTTCACACTACCAGGATAAATGTAATCAAAAAAAGAGGCAATCACATGTATTGACGAGGATTTGGAGAAACTGGAATTATCATACATTGCTGGCGGGCGGTGGCGGTAAAGTCATGATTCTCCTGTCTCAGCTTCCCAAGTGGTTTGGATTACATTAAAGTGCCACTGTGCCCAGTCATTTTTGAGAACAATTTGGCAGTTTCTTAAAAAGTTAAACATAGGTATCCATATGACTCAAGAATTCTACTTCTGAATATCTATACAAGAGACGTGAAAGCATATGTTCACACAAAGCCTTTTAGGCAGACGTTTGTAGCAGATTTAGACATGAGACCCAAAGTGGAAATAATGTAAATGCCCATCAACTAGGGAATGAATAAAAGTATGGTGTATACATACAATGAAATATTATTTAGCAACAAAGAAATGAAATCTGAATACGTGTTCAACATGAATAAACCTCAAAAACACTGTGCTAAGTGAAAGAAGCCAGACACACAAAAATCACATATTCTAATTTTACTGATATGAGAAAGCAAATCTACAGGGACAGAAAGGAGATTAGTGGTTGTCTGGGGCTGAGGGTAG